AGGCATCGAGCCATCCGCATTCTTTCCAGAATTCGCTTGGTATGTCATCTGGACCAGAAGCCTTGCTCTTTTACTTGCTATAGCAAGCCATACATCCACTGCTGTTATGAGTAGATAAGTAAGAACTTGACCACTGATATACATCTCACAGCCTCATGTTGTCGGTGTCACAGCAAACACCTCTTGAAGCGCAAAGCTGATAGGACACAGAACCGCTATAAGAACAAGATATGCTCAAATTTTAAGGGTGGTTGAGTTAGCGACTAACATCTCATAAATTAAGAACATTCCCAAACAGGAAGGACAAGTCTAGAGATGGTCCTGCCGGTGAACTGCAGCAAATTAGACATTGCGTAGTCGTATGTGCGCACACACTACAATCTTTACAAGCGTTTTCATATCGCGGTGATATGGGTTAGACAAATTAATCCACGATAGACGCAATGCCACCGTCATTATCCTCACTACACTAACTCTGTGCTTCAAACCGTCCGTTCGTTTTGGAACCAACATTTGTCGTCCTAAAGATTGTAAACAGACCGTATGGTTGTGAAAAGTACGAAGAATTTACTACCAAAGTTACGAGCACATAAAAGAAGAAACAAGAAGGGGAATATGCAGTTTCTGTAGCTTGTCGCTAATTTCACTCTGCAAATCCTGGTAATTAACCCCACGCGGGGCTCTCTCCGTCGACTGCTCTTCTTTGAATTACAAGAATATAGTCTCCAAAGCCTTGAGCACAATTCTCATCACAAGTTTGTCCATCAGAAGCGTAGCGGGACATTTGAAAGGTCGAAGTAAACTATTACTACAAAGTCTAAAACAACATTTGCGTGGAAACCTCCGGCATAATCACTCTGCAGCCTCCTTCCCCTAATCAAGAAGACTATGTGGCATGTAGACCAGATATCGTAACATTGCGCCTCTGAGTTGCACTCCCAAACCATTTTAGCCAAAATCATTCCACGAATACGGCTCTTAATAGGGCACAACTGTTTTACGATATCCTAGCTATCTGCTGCAGTTTCAGACAAATATAACCTAGGCAAGATCTCCTAAGGAGTACGGTAGACATTCTGCAGAATATCACCTTGCTATTTGATGACATCTATAGTAAACACTCCTTTCATAACATCCAGTACCAAATTAAAGTTGCAAAGATGCCTTTGGATATGTGAAGGATGCGTCCTGGCAGTTACCAGCAGGGGTGTATGTCAATAACGATAGCTGGCAGCAATCGCGCGCGCATATGCTGTGTCAATTACCTGCACGCGGAATACCTCGCCCTTGCGCAGTATACATGTACGCGGCAGCTACAGTCTCCTAACCCTTCGTCCACAACAACTCCTTTCTCAGTTGGACATTACCGTTGTGATACTGTTGTCAAGCTTATTGATTGGAAACAAGCAAATTTCTAGTGTTAAATTTTATTCAGTGATTTTTCATTCTCAGAATATTCCTGTGGTATTCGTCATATCTGTCAGATTTCTTAGAAAATCGCATTGGAAGTAGATGTGATATTTTTCGCTGTAACCTTTTAAAATTACTACTAGTTCTGGAAAGCTTGTTCGGTTGATATGAGTAGCAAATAGTAAACTGCTAACAATGGTAAAATCAAGTCTTTGCGTGTTCAGATCAAACCAAAGTTAGTGTTTAGGCGGTTTGTAACTAGTTCTTATTCTTGAATAACAATGGTTGATCCTATTCTTGAATCGCAATGGTTGAAGAGGTTATAAGTTAAACTAACACATCAGGAAAGGATCTGAGATTGTTCGCACTTCAGAGATTGCCCTGAGGGCTGAACGAGCCAAAGATTTCTCTGGATGAATACACCCCTAATTCTTAGGCCATCATTCTCTTAACGACAATTCCAGCAGGAAAATGTCAAAATGATCTTTTGAATATACCTAAATATCTGTCAATTTCATCGTCGGCATTGCAATTTATGACTTAGTTGTCAAATTTTCTGTGACAGCACCTGTTTTTTTCAGAAGATGTAGGAATTATTAAACGAAAATGTTGGCTTGATTAACAATCAATTCTAATCGAACACACGGATATCCTAAAAACGATTCATTCCTAATAATCTGTTTCTTTTCTCTTTTTTTTTCTTTCTCGAATAACGCGGAAACAGTTGAAGCAGAGCAATGCAAAGCGTTCATCTTCTCAAAATCGTCTATTTTCTGCACCTATACCTCCGCTTTCATATTGAGCGCGACATATTTGGGTTGAGCGGAGCGTCTCTCATGCTCTTTCCTAACACGCACGCAGCATGTTGCGCGGGCGCACGCTCTTTGAAAGCGAGGCTACTTGCAGGCTGCTCAGGGTGGCAGTGGCGGCTTGTGCGAGCTATCGTAATTTTTGACCGCCAGCCAGTTACCAGGGGTCTACACAACAACTGTGACAAAAACTTGTGAAGTTGACACATTGAAGAAATCTGCGCTTAGATTTCAACTGTTTCAAGTTCGTTGGTCGAAGAAGTATTATGGAGTTTCGAACGGCTTTGGGAGTATAGTTTCAGTCGGATTGGCCGGTAAGTGCAACTTTTGATAATGAAGTATTGCATTAAGCCTATACATCCCAGATTATGGCGCAGTTGCTATAAAATCTTTTTTAGATGCTAGAAACTCTTGTTACGTTGGGAGAAAAACTTAAGTGAAATACTGTTAGAAGTCGCTGCCACAACGAAATTTACCTTGGACAGTTTATGTGGT